AAAGAAGAGTCAGCTCGCATGATAAAAGTCCTTGCCATTTCCATCCTCCAGCCCCAAAAGAAGATGTCCTAGACAAACTAATCTTTTGTCTTAATAGCTCCCTTGCCTACCCTTCTTCTTATAAAAGCCTTCCATTTTGCACAACCACTTGGAGTTGCTAGATGGGATGCTGCCCAGTTCATGAATGTCATAATAAAGTCAATTAGATCTTCAAGTTTACTTAGTTGAATTTTGTTTTTTAACTATAGTGATGAAGAAATGAGGCAGAGAGTTAAGCGTGGATCAGACTATAGAGGACCTTGCAGGCTGTGTTACAAGATTTGGCCTTTGTTCTAACGGCAGTGAGATCAGCCATTAAAATGTTTCAGGTGAATTGAGAACTATGTTTTTATAAGATCCTTCTGACTATTGGGTGGTATAAATCAATAGTAATGGGCCAAGAATGGATGCAGTTTGGCTCAGTGGATAGAGTGTCGGCCTGTGGACTGAAGGGTCCCAGGTTCAATTCCTGCAAAGGGCCCATAACTTGGTTGCAGGCTTGATCCCTGGCCCTGTGCAGGAGGTAACCAATCATGTCTCTCTCTCTCCCCCTTCCTTCCATTCTCTCTGAAGTGGGGAAAAAATATTCTCAGGCCAGGATTACTAAATAAAAAGAATGGACACATGGGACCAGTGGGGGGGAAAAAAAAAATGGATGCATGGAACCAGTGAGGTGACTGTCAAAGTCATCTAGGCAGAAATGACAGTGGTTTGCATTTGGGTTCTGCATTCTGGTTGAAGAAGATGGACAAACAATTTGGATGTAAAATTAATAGGCACTATTTCCAACCTTATGATCCAAGGTGGACAGCTATGCTAACTAGACCCAAAAAGATACCAACTCAAACTTAAGACCTCTTCATTGGCACAGAATTGAGCCAACTAAGGCATTCTCCCCTCCTCCCCCCATATAGATATTCAACAAACTCTGATGGAGCTTTTGCCACTAGGCGCTAGGCCTGTGCCAAGAGTTGCAGAGATAGAAAGATGATTAAGGTGCAGCAGGCCACCCCACAGAAGTAACATTCTAATAAAAATAATACCTTTGGCCTTCCTTTATTCCCTGCATTGCCAGTACTTGGTCTCTTGGGTTAACCAAGGCTCAGCCAGAATTAGGGTTCAATGCAACTTTGAATGATCATGAATTTTTCTCCTTGACTATTATGCTAGTGGTCATAAAGGAGCCAGTTCTCCAAACTGAAGTTTGTGTCAAAATTTACCGAGCTCATGTCAGTCATTTCAACTACCCAAGCCAAACAGAGAATAACATGCCTACCTAACTCATAAGGCTATTATGAGGAAAAGAAAAAAAAAAATTAAGGGGATTTGCAAACGTGAAAGGTGGTTTGTATGATAATCTCTGCATTTGCACCGCCCTCTTTACAGTCACCGGCTGCAATGCGTATATGAAGGTGGTCCCATTAGATTTTAATGGAGCTGAAAATTTTCTATTGCCTAGTGATGTTATAATTCATAGCATAACACATTACATGAATACCATTGTGTTACAGTTGCCTACCGTATTCAGTACAGTAACATGCTGTACAGGTTTGTGGCATGTACTGTAGGGGAATAGGATTTGTCACCCCAAAATATGTCTATTTGGCATAAGGATTATTTTAGGCCAGTTAATTTTAAGAAATAGCAGACTTGGGAGAAACTCTGAGAACCCATGTAGAAGTTACCCTTTGTAAAAGACATTTACTACATTGTAAGGGAAATTTACACTTGTAAGGGCTCCTCCCTTGCTATACCAGGAGTTCTCTTTAGGAACTCTTACCACTCTGAAAGCAAAGACTTAAATCTGCATAACAAACTTACCCTTTTTTACTGTGCTTTTGCTATAATCTCCCATAACTGACTCCTCCCACTCCCAACATCTTTTCAGCTGAAGATGATATTTAAGGTGGTGGCTTCCGCCATTTTGGTGAGTTACTCAGTTTTCCTGGGTCTCTCCCAAGTATACTGGAGGTATACGTGTTATTAAACTTTTATTTGTTTTTATACTACTAATCTGTCTTATTACAGGGATGTCTCAGTCAAGAACCCAGAAGGGTAAAGGGAAAATTGTTTTCTCTCCCCTACAGAGCAATAGGCTATACCATATAGCCTAGGTGTATAGTAGACTATACCGTTTAGGTTTGTGTAAGTGCACTCTGATATTCACACAAGGAAATCGCCTAACAATTCATTTCTCAGAATGTATCCCCATCATTAAGCAGGGTATGGTTGTACTAGTGTTGGCTTTATTTCATGTTTATTAAACAAATATTTATTGAACATTGATCTTGTGCTAGTGTTAGCATCAAAACAGCACCAGTATGTTACCAGCAATTGGACCTGGGTTCAGCATCCTCAGTACTTGAGTTCTGGTAAGAAAGAATTCAGAGCCAAGATTCAAATACTAGTAAAAGTTTATTTAGAAAGTCACAGAGGTAAAAAAGGTGAGCCAGCTGGGCTGCATGGGCTCAGGAAACAAATTACAGAAGCAAAAGAAGAGCCCTTGGAACTTACAAGAAAGAAAGCAAGGATATATGCTCCTGTGGGAAGGAGACGGGGAAAGGCTCTGGCATGCTACAGAGAGCAACTGCTGGGGAAAGAAGGGTGTGGGGAAAGGCAGGCATGCTCAATGGTGTGGGGAGGGGGAAGCAGAAGTATAAAGAGAACACGCTGAGTCTTTTCTGAGTTGTTTTTTTAATCCTCACCCAAAGACATTTTTTCCATTGCTTTTTCAGAGAGAGTAGAAGGAAGAGAGAGAGCAACATTGGGTGGTTGCCTCCCACTTGGGGCCGAGCCTATAACCGTGATACATGTTCTTGGCCAGAAGCAGGCCAACACTCTAACCACTGAGCCAAACCAGCTAGGTCGAGAGTTGTTTGTCTTAAGGGGTTTTACCTGTTTCCCAAAGGCAGGGATTTTAGGGGAAGTCTCAGGGGAGGATCTGAACAGAATATTGATCAGCTTTCTAGGTGTGTCCTCTCTCATCATGGTCTCCACTGGTTAATGGTGCCAGGGCAGGGGGTCATTAGTCATCATAGCTGGTCGTGATAACAACCTTGGCATCGCCCTGCCTGGCCTTGCTGCTTTTCTGGGCCTGGAGCTGAAACACAACTGAGGCCTAGATGATATCTCCAGGGCTTAATGCTCAAAGGAGTCATGATGCTATTCTCTGGCTCCCTTGTTCCTCCTCTAAGGNCTGAAACACAACTGAGGCCTAGATGATATCTCCAGGGCTTAATGCTCAAAGGAGTCATGATGCTATTCTCCGGCTCCCTTGTTCCTCCTCTAAGGGTGTTGTCTACCTCATGACTAGTGACATGCTAGGGGAGGAAAGATCAGGCAGGGGAAGGTCTGAACCGCATGACCAGATATGCTAGGGGAGAGAAGGTCACCCTGGGGGGCAAGGTCCCACCCCAGTTTTGCCCATTGGTAGGAACCAGGGGTATTCCTACTCTGCTCATGCCTGTCTACCTACCTACTGCACCAGTAGCTGAAGATGCAAGGATAAACAAGATTCAGTCCCAGCTTTCATAGAACTTACATTCTAATGTGTACTGGAGCACTGTGGGTCAACGTTGTTAAAAAAATAAATTCAACAGAGTAAATTTGCAGATCTAATTAGCTTTATTAAATGATTCACTGGATAGCATCCCATGTAGCAATTAGAAGGGTGCTCCTAGGGGGTTGTATGAAATGGAGCTATTAACAAAAGAAAAGAAAGGATTATTTTTAGACCAGGACCTCTTTTAGGGGGAAAGGAATGGCAAGGGTTTTCATCATGCAGACTGCCTCTTCATTCTTGGGGGGTATAGGGGGCACATGACAGATTTACCGTGTTGGTGCTTGACCAGAAAACTCCAGATTTAAGACTACATTTCTAGGAGAGATTGAATCTTCAATTAAATTAGGTATTAAACCTAGTTTTAATAGCATGGTTTTTAAACTGAGTGATGCTATTTTGGGCCTGTGGTTTTCTTTTTAAAAGGGTAAAAAGAAGCCTGGCTGGGGTGGCTCAGTGGTTGACCGTCAACCCACGAATCAGGAGGTGATGGTTGGATTCTGGTCAGGGCACATGCCTGGGTTTTGGGCTCCATCCCCATTAGGGGCCATGTAGGAGGCAACAGATCAATGACTCATCATTGATGTTCCTATCTCTCTCTCCCTCTCCCTTCCTCTCTCTGAAATCAATTAAAAATATATATATTTTTTAAAAAGGTAAAAAGAATTTGAGTCACTAGCTACCCAGTCCCATCACTGCATAGAACAGATGCCAGAGAAGCCAGCAGCATTTCCCCTTTCTATGCTTTTTCCTCCTCACTGCCAAGCTCCTCATTGCCCTTGACCCTCGGGGGGAATATTATCTAAGTAATATTTTAAAAATCGGACTCTTTTTGCAAGTAATGGCAACTGCTTTTCTTTAAATTCCCAATAGTCTCCCCTATTATTGTCTACTATAGTCTCTGAGTGTATGGTTAACAGATCCAGTTTCTATCCTCTTGCACTGTAGGAGTAGCAGAGGCCCTGGAAACCCTGGTGGTAGTTCTCATTTTCTTGCAGGCACTGAGAGTCACAGAGCCTCCAGGGTCCCAGATTTCTGGGAGGGTCCTATAGCTCATCTTAGGGTAGAGGGTGGGACGGGCAGGGTTAGACTGGTCCCTAAGATTATGTGATCCATGCCTGGCTCTCCACATTCCTCTTTCCGCTATTTGGAGGAAGGCACATGCAAAGCACTCAGGAAGACGAACGTGGGGACAGGAGTGGTAATGTACACAGCCCGCGGACGGTGGGATTGACCGTGGGACCCTTCTGCGCGAACGAATTACCCCACCAGCGCGCCCTCTGTGCGGGGAGGAAGGGGCGGGGCTCCACTCGCTGGCCGGGGGCGGGTTTGGCGTGGGCTACGTGACGTGATTGGCTCTGCTTAGGGGAGGGGCCCGTTTCCGCTGAACGCCGGAAGTTGCTCTCTCCTGCCAGTGGGCCATGGAGTTGGTGGCACAGTAACGTCTGAGGTGTGAGGATTGCGGGGCCGGCGGCCATGGAGGCCGTGCTGAACGAGCTGGTGTCTGTGGAAGACCTGGTGGTGAGGCCTGGCCCCGAGAGAAGGAGAGAAAATATTCGGGCGGGCGGGTCCTGAGGAGAATCGGATAGGGGCCGAACCCTTTTCTCATCATCAGCTTTGCCTAGGAACGTCGAACTACTGCTCCCGGCAGCCTTTGCAGTGTCCGGCTCCTGCCGAGAGGTTCCACTTTGCCCCAGAGGCTAATGGGAGTTGTAGTTTCCTGCGCCGCCACGCCTCAGACTCAAGGCCTGGAGTCTGGCGTGGGAAGACTGACGGGTTCTGGGTGCGTGCAACACTTAGGAGGTCAGAGTCCTAACCTGTTTTTGAGTACTCCCTCAGTGGTGGGGGACTATAGCGACCACCATAAAGTTTTATATATTACTCACTGTATCCGGCACAGTGCTAAGTGCATTGCAGGCGATATCTCAATCTTTGAGTTAAAAGAGGTAGGCACTATCTTGTTCCCATTTTGCAGATAAGAAAAAGTCCAGACCCGGCAAGGTGGGGCAGGATGGGGGAAGCAGTCTCCGACAAGGGACCTTGTGGGCTGTTGAGCAGTTATGACTGTAGTTGAACAGCATGTTTACTGTTTAGCCACTCGGGTTCAGTTGCTCTGGGAGCGGTGCCCGGAACCACCACCAGGTGGCATCTCCACTCAGTACCACTAGGGGGAGGGAGTGGGAGTGGGGGAGACTGTCCAAGGAGACACCTCACCCACAAAAAACAGAAAGCCTGGGTCCCGGAGATGGAGATAGAACCTGTGGAGCCAGGTATGATGGCCCGTGAGGGAAATGTTGCAGAGACTGGGGAAGATGGATTGTAACTGGGAAATGGACTCTGGGTCCTGATAGAGAATGGTTTGCCTCCTTCATTTCTAAATGACTCCTCTCCTCTCCTATGGCAGAAGTTTGAAAAGAAATTTCAGGCTGAGAAGGCAGCAGGCTCGGTGTCCAAGAGCACGCAGTTTGAGTATGCCTGGTGCTTGGTGCGGAGCCAGTACAACGATGACATCCGTAAAGGCATTGCACTGCTGGAGGGTGAGGCGCTAGGCTACCCTACTCTCCCCTTCCCAACTGCAGTCAGAGTCTGCCCTTCTCTACTGCCATTGATCATTCTCTTCCTCCATCTCAAGTGCTGGGGTTCTTTTTCAACATGGTACCCTGTATTACAATCACCTCACAGTTATTTTACAATAAACTCACTCTAACAAAGGGCTATACACATTAGCCTGGCTTCTCCCAGTGTACTTTGGGCTCGTTACCATCTCACCATTGTTTTGCCAAACAGTCAAACCATGTCAGTTTCCACAGGAGGTTGGTGATCTGGTAGTCTAACCATAAAGAAAGTGACTTGTTTGAAGTCCCACAGCTATTAATGGCTGAATTAGGACTAGAGGTTCCTGTCTTATGTGTCCCAGTCCTGTGCTCTTTGCCCCCCACCATGCTGCTTATTCAGCAGCTGTTGTTGAAAACCTTTTGTTAGAGTGGCATGGAAGAAGTGCAGAAGACAGTCCCAAAAACCTGTGAGCAGATGATGCTTTTTTGACTGGAATCCTAGTTCCCATTGTTTTGGGATGGGTCACCATTTGTCAAAGGCCACAATATTTGACCTTTAAATTTCTCTGAACCCCCTCTGTCTTGGTCAAGTAATCGTATATAAGCAAACAGTAGTGTACTAGCAAAAGATGCCTATTGCAAATCTGTAAAACTTCTTAATGCAAATAATCTCACCCTATATTTGTCTGATTTGCCAATTCAGATTTTTTCAGGTTTCCTTTACAGCAGGGCACAGCTGTAGAAGAAGTGGTCTCTAAGGGTTGCCAGTCTAGTTGAGGAGATAGTACAGACACTTGGGAAGATTTATAAATACCCACACAACTACTTAGCAATAAATTCTAGTGCACAGAGTACAACTGAACACATAAGCCTCTGGAAAGTCACTGAATTAAGAGTCAGGTGGGGTTATTCAGGAAAGGCTAACTGAAGGTCAGTTTTCAGCAGACTTTTTTAAAGGGGGTGGGAAGTACAAACTTATTTTTAACACTTATTGGGGCAACTAGATACTATAGTTGAAGCACAACAGGTGTCAAAACTGAGTAGAGATGCCTCTTGGCCTTTCCAGTGCCTTGATTTCTTTTCAGTTCACTGTAGTATTGGTACCAGGGTGTTGATCACCAGAGTGTTTAGGCAGCCTGGGTTTATGCTTCCCAGAGCTCTCACCAGGAAGTCAAGTGTGACTTGAGCTGAAACAGGCACTCAGGACAGTGACTTTCTCCCAGGATTACATAGGGATTCAGAGAGTGGGAGCGGTCTCTGGGACGCAAGTACTAGGAAAAGAGAGAAGCGATTTTCATCCTTTCCTCTCTCCTCCTCCCCAGAGCTGTTGCCCAAAGGGAGCAAAGAGGAGCAGCGGGATTATGTCTTCTACCTGGCTGTGGGGAACTACCGGCTCAAGGTAAGGCAGAGAGCTCCCTTTCCACTCCATCCTACTTCAGTGGGCCACATCACCCTCTCCTTTTCCCCAGGGTAGAGCCTAAAGAGGGCAGTAGGCAGGGGGTGATATTGGGTACAGAGGTGCAAGGTGATAGGTCAGGATGCTGAAGGAAGGTGAGAGACAGAGGATCAGGGTGCCGAGGGTGTGGGGAAAAGGTGACGTCAGGATTGGGGTGCAGCCCCGGGCCTTGGGTTGTTATCTCCCCTAGCTTATCATCCCCACACAGATGGAGTTGTTTGTGGACTCTACTCCATTGGGTGGGGCTGGAGTGAGGGAGGGGGTGGAGGTAGAGGGAGGAGCCCCCAGGGCAAGTGAAGGGAAGGCCCCTCTGATGGGCAGAAGCAGTGCTGAAATACTAAGGGGGTGTGTGTGTATGTGTTTTCCGAGTGTAGGAATATGAAAAGGCCCTAAAGTATGTGCGAGGGCTGCTACAGACAGAGCCCCAAAACAACCAGGCCAAGGAACTGGAACGGCTCATTGACAAGGCCATGAAGAAAGGTGAACTCCTTTCCCTTTGTCTTGTTCCAATCCCCACTCTCCTGTCTCCCTGGCTCCCATCATCCCCAGGTCCTTCTCAACTATTAGTTTAGTCTTCTTCCTCTCCCCCCACCTCATATCTGGGCCCTCTGGTCTCTCTTTAAATGACACCCTCCCAGCAATTCCTCCTCACATCCCCGGAAGCCTTCGTTGTCCAGCCCTTGGAGTCCCTCACCTCAGTCATCCAAGTGGGGAGGCACATCTGTTGAGGAGCGGCTGGCTGGAAGAAGATAGTAGATAGGGTCCTGGTGGGTTGGGGCTCAACTCCTGACAATCTCCCTTTTCTTCTCCCCAGATGGACTGGTGGGCATGGCCATTGTTGGAGGCATGGCCCTGGGTGTGGCAGGACTGGCTGGACTCATCGGATTTGCTGTATCCAAGTCCAAAACCTGAATGAGACTGCACCTCTGCCCAGGGATACGTGGGAGCCCATGAAAGATACTCAGAGGGGCCCATCCATCCTCGCTGTCCCTTCTCCTGCACCCTATCACTGTCCTCCATGGCCTCAACCTCCTCTCCCCTGAGATCTGTCCTCTAGCCCCAGGTCATGTGCTTTAGGATGAATGTAAATAAAATTGGGCTTTAACTTGGGAACCTCTGTGTCTGTTGAGGAAGGGGCAGGTTCCCTTGGGCCCAGAAGTGGGGGTAACGCATGGTCCTTTCCTGTTCTGTGTTCTTCTATTACCTTCATGCTGGTATGGGGTTCTCCTTTATCTGCAGAGCTGCCCAGATCCCACGCCCTTCTTCCCTTCTCCCCACCAAAAGCCACATGGCCTTCACACAGCCCTAGGATCCTGAGAGAAAGCGACAGGCGGTGGGAAGGGCAGAGCTGAAGGGACAGGCTTGGATTTATGTCTCCTGTCTCCTCTGACCCACTCAGCTGCCTCTCAGCACGTGGAGTTTTCCACTCCAGGGGCCCCCCCACTCAGTTTCCTCCAAAACCTCCGCCCTTCCCCTCCCTTTGTCTTCCGGCTTCCTGCTCTTCCTCCTACCCTAGCCTCCTTAGGAGAGGGGGCGCTGTTGGGGAGGTGGGGGGAGGAAACAAGTATTTGGCATGGAGTTGGCAGGAGTTTTAGAAGAGGTTAGGAACCCAGGACACCCCAATTGTAGCCTCCGAGATGGAAGGTGGGGACCCAGTCCCCACCCAGCCTGCTTTGCCTCATACCCACCTTGTGCCAGGCTCGGCTTGGGCCTGTCTTGCTTCACTGCATGCCTCTCATTCCACAGCCAGGCCAGGCCAGCTGGGGGGTTGGGTGGAGGCCCCTGAGGGGAGCACAGAGGAGCCTGATACCTGAAGGAGGGCAATGGGGGTTTACGCTTCAATCCAGTGATGTATTGTATGATTGCCTGGGTGTGGTATCAGCCCCTTGGAGACTAAGCCTCAGCCACACTTGCCAGAAGAGAACTAGGGCTGTCCTGCTATAGCCTTGGAGCAGGAAATGAGACGTCTGCACCAGGACAGGTGCTCAGCTTTGGTTTGGGGTGGGTACCCAGAGGTTTCTAATCCATCATAATTAACAGAGCCAGTGACAGTTCTGATAACAATGAGCTGCTTAGATTAACCACCCACGGGATCACCTGTGCCTGAGGTATACCCCCCCCTCCCCCCACCCAGGGACCCTTGGCAGCAAGATCAAGGTTGTTGCTGAGAGTCAAAGATCAACCCACCAAAGGGGCAAAATCAAGTTCAGGAAGTTGAAGTTTGCAGGAAAGCAACCCCTGATGGCTTCACCCTGGGTCTGCCGCACCCAGACCCAGGACAATCAACAAGTATCGAGTAATTCGTACACGTGGGGAGCATTGATCTGTCACAATTCTCATTACACCTTATGAGGTGAGTAGTAGTAGTGTTAGTTCACAGAAGCAGAAATGAACTGACGGCTCCAATTTTATTCCTATCATTTTGGTAAATGATGGGGTCTGGTTTGAATCTAGGTTGGCTGGACTCCAGAGCCATCTCTCTCCCACAGACCCTGTTCCCTTCTTCAACCTTAATCATCCTGGAAGACCCAATGCTCAATCCCTAGGTCTTCTGATTTTCCTGAATTGTTCTCACCAACATCAACAGATAGTGGCTCTGCTCCTTGTTCCTTCCCCAGTGAAGGCTGCAGTGGCCTGTCGGTGCTCATTCTGTCTCTCCTTGTCCCTCTTATTCCATTCTCTGGCCCCTAGTGAAAGCTGAGTCAGAGACACGCTTCCCCTTGGCTCCCAATGCCTCCCATGGGGGCCCCTCCTTGGCTGCATCCGTTAGTCACTCCCCGGTAAGTCCCCCCCCACACCCTGTGGGGCGGGGAGCCCAGGGCAGCCTGGAGGCAGTGGACTTTTGGCCGGTTTCGTTTATTCCCTACATCTCATCAACATCTGCCGCAGGCTCTTGGCTCATTCCTCTGACTGCTGACCTGCAGGGAAGCAGAAACCCAGAAAGAGGGAAGGAAGGCAAAAACTTGGAGACAGACCTGAGGCCGAGGAAGAGGCCGAGGCTGCAGCTGGTCTTCCGCCCTTCCCCACTCTTCCCACCCTGCCTTAACACCTCTCCCTAGCCAAAGCCCCTCAAGGTCCCCTGGGGCTCAGCCCTTCTCCCTCTGGGGCCCCAGGTGCCCCTCAGGGCCTGCATACCACCATGTCAGTGGCTGTGGAGACCTTTGGCTTCTTCATGGCAGCCGTGGGGCTGCTGATGCTGGGTGTGACCCTGCCACACAGCTACTGGCGAGTGTCTACTGTGCACGGGAATGTCATCACCACCAACACCATCTTCGAGAACCTCTGGTACAGCTGCGCAACCGACTCCCTGGGAGTCCACAACTGCTGGGAGTTCCCGTCCATGCTGGCCCTCTCCGGTACAGGGTGGAGGGTGAAGGGAGCAGAGGGAGGTGGGAGGTTGGAGAGAGCTCCGGGGAGTTAAGGTGCTGCCTGTGTTCTGACCTTGGGCGCCATTAAGCTCAGAGATCAGCTCCTGCAGCAGGGAGTGCTAGGGGTAGCCCCCTGTCTGGAGCTGCAGTGGTGACCTGGTCACACGTGGCCCCCTGCCCTAATGGGCCACTCTGTCTCAGTGGTTACAAGTGCAGGCACCAGGGTTAGACTGCCAGGCCAGTGCCTGCGGTGTCCTAGCTCTGAGCCTTGGGCAGATGGTAAAATGAGCTTTATTTGACCCATCTGTAAAATTAGGATCATAATAGCACCCATTCATAGGGTAGTCGTGGGGACTTTATGAAATAAAAGGTTCAAAATGTTAACATGATGTTAGCATCTATGTGCACTCAAACAATTTTAGCATTTTAGTGTTGGGTTGAGAGTGCTGGAGTTTGTGGGGCGAAGAGGAGGCCCCATCTTGGATTCTTGGGAGTTGAGACAATCTCAGTAGCCTCACCAGGCTTCTACTGGGACACCAATGCTGTGGTGAATACTAAAGGGCTGTTTTTATTAAAGATTCTGGGTGTCTAATGTAAGCAGGTGAGGGAGTGTGCATGTGTGTTTGGGGTTCTGGGGGGAGTGTATTTTTTCGGTTCTTTGCGAGCTAGAGCCTACAGCTCTTTTGGCCCAGGAAGATTTTCCCTGGTGGCCGTAGCATCTTCCTGCTTCCTGCTCATCCTGTGAGTAACCCCCCCCCCATTATTCCCTAGGGGAGTCTCCCTTCAGTCGGCCCCATGCCAGAGATCAAGAGGGGATGACCAGGAACCCTCTGCCGTGCCACTCCCGCAGCCTCACTGGGTTCTCCCGGAGCCCTCTGGCTCTTCTAGGTCCCCTTCTGCAGTTGCCAGAGGAAGGGTGAAGGAACAGAGGCCAACACTGGGTTTAGAGCAGAGCTACATGAGGTCCCCCAGCAATGTCAAAGATGCTCTGAGCAGTTAGGGGATCCAGGCGGGTCTCTTGTGTTCCCACTATTCCCAGAATCTCCCAAGGCAGCTGCAGAGGCTTCATGTTTTCATCCCTCTCTCTAGGACTTAACAAGGCAATTCCCCTCCCCTCCATAAGAGACCATGAGTGTGCATGAAAAATGAAGGGACAAGAAGGGGCTTGGAGGGAACGGCAGAGTGCAGCTGCGCAGTGTTAAGGGCATCTTGGTTCCGGGTGTGGTGCTGGATACTTCACATACACCATTTTAGGGCTGTTTACGATAGTTCAGCTGTTGGGGATGTTAGTAAGCTCATTTTACAGAACCTGGAAAACTGCAGGGATGAGTATTAACCTGCTCCAAGTCACACAGGTGGTAGAGGGGTTAGAATCCTGACTTGTTTCTGAGTCCGGAGCTGGCTGACTTCCAAGGCCAGTTCTGGTCCTGAGAGGGGTCCTGAGTGTTATTTAGTCACCTTCCAGCTGTGCACCCCTAGCCTCCAGCCATTTGGTCCATGCTTTCACAGGCTCTTCAGTAATCTTTGTCTATCAGAGCTTGTCTGCCCCAGGTGGAGATGGGTAAGTGGATGGGTGGGGATAGGATATGGGGTAGGAGAAGAGGGTGGGAACTCCAGAGGGAATGGCTGAGAGCGAGAAAGTGCTCCCAGAGAACTTTGTCCCTCCTCCCTACCCCCAGCTCCAAGCCACTAAACATCCTCTTGGCAGGGACCCAGCCTTTCCCCTTCAGCCTTGCTGGCACTGCCCCACCTGGGAAAGGAGTGCAAGGTCCTTGGGTGCTTGGCAACTATCAAAGTCAGAGAAGGGGGAAGGGGAGCCAGGAAGGAAGCCAGCCATTTCCTTCAGCTTTGAGAAAGGGGAAACTGAGGTACTGAAAGCACATGCGCTAAACTGACTTGGATTGGTCCTGGGGCCAGGTATCCCACCTCCCAGATTAGAAACTGCCTTGGACCCAGTGACCCCATGGGCCACTGCTGCTCCCTACTGGTCACTCCAGGAAGATCAGGTCAGGATGCCAGGTGCAATGCTATGCACTAGGTGGGACCTGGAGAGAAGCAGGTGTGGGGAAGGGGCTGGGGTGCCCAGGTGTGGTTTCTGCAATGCACAGCTGAGACTGGTGGTGATCTAACAGAGCAGTGGCTCTCAACTAGGCGATTTTGCCCCCACAAGGGTCATTTGATAATCTATACATTTTAATTGCCCCGGCCTTGGGGAGACTACTGACATCTAGTGGTGGAAGCCAAGGATGCTGCTAAACATCCTACAATGCACAGGGGATGGCTCCCAGAACAAAACATTATTGAGCCAAAGTGTCAGTAGTGCTGAGCAGAAGCTCTATGAAGGAGGTATGGGCAAAATGTACCGGTGCAGGTGGCAGGGCAGGAGGGGCTGAGACTCCTTGGGATTGAGATGAACTCTTGGGAAGGAGGGGTGTGAGACCCCTCAGCCTGTAGGCTAGATGGATCCAAAGGTGAAAGAAGAGGATTTGAGGACTTATAGGGACTGAGGCTGTAAGGGACTGTCTGTCTTTGAGGGGAGAGGAGATGGAGGGGTAAGGCACTGGCTCAGGGACCCATGGCTGCAACCCACCTCCCCAGGGTACATCCAGGCCTGCCGGGCACTCATGATCACTGCCATCCTCCTGGGCTTCCTGGGCCTCTTCTTGGGCATGATGGGACTGCGCTGCACAAACATTGGGGGCGTGGTGCTCTCCAGGAAAGCCAAGCTGGCGGCCACTGCGGGGGCCCTATACATACTGGCTGGTAATTGAGGGAAGGTGATGGGTGGGCCCTGTGCTATAGTGGGTGTTTGGGGGTGGCCCTTTGTAACAGATGCCGGGGGTCTCTGTCTTCAGCTCCCACTCTTTCCCCTTTGCATTGACACCTGCCCTCCCAGGCTAAGCTGTTCCTTCGCCTCCAGCTCACCTCAGCTTCACCTATACTCACCAAATCCCTTGGCTACAAATCAGTCCATTAGCAATGTTTCTTGAACCCCCCACTGGAGCCAGGCATAAGTGAGGTGTGGGGCAGATTCCAAAGGTGAGAGTGAGGGTCTGTCCTCCTGAGCTTACAGCCTGGCTGGGAAAATCAGAGTCAGGGTATACACACACACACGTGTGTACACACACGTGCACACACACACATGCACATTGCACACAGAAACAATATATGACTGGCCATCCCTTTTCAGTTTGTAAAACATATCTACACACATTACCTCATAAGCCTGTGAGGTAGGGAGGGTCTTTTCCTGTTCTCCAGATGTAGAAATAGACTCTAAGGTCAGGCAACTTACTGGAGGACAAGCCCCCAGCGAGTGACAAGGCTGATCCTCTAGTCTAGAGATCTCACTGGCTTCAGGCTTTCACTTCAGAGTGGCAAAGTCATATCACAGGCTCTGAGGGCTGTGGGAGGCCAAGGGACACAAGTGTCAGGACAGAAGACTGCTTAGAGCAGCTGGGCTTTCTAGGATGGATGGGGCACAGTCCAAGTAAAGAAACTAAGGGATCAAGGTGCTAGAGGGCAGGGATGAACAAGGCAGTTCAGGGGTAAAGAGGGGGCAAGGGCTGGCTGAGGAGCAGAGTATGGTTTTGGGCTAGATGGAGAAGTTTACAGTTGACCCCAGGAAACAGAAGGGTCGTGAGCTGGGGTGGGGGAAGAAACGGAGGGAATGAAATTTGCTCTTGGACTTGCTGCCCCACCTTCTACTCTCTGGGCTACTCCTGCCTGGCCCTCCCCCTAGTCCTTAGGTGCCTAGGGCTCCAGTGCAGTTCTCTCCCTGCCCCAGGTTGCTGCGGGATGGTGGCCATCACCTGGTACGCCTCCAACATCACCCGGAACTTCTTCGACCCCACGTATTCTGGAACCAAGTGAGTGTGGGAGCCCCATCCTCGGGGGTGGAACTCGGCCATGTCCCCGAGCTAGCACCGCCCCGTCCCGCCTTGTTTTTGTCCCCAGGTATGAGCTGGGCCCTGCGCTCTACCTGGGCTGGAGCGCCTCCCTGCTGACCATCCTGGGCGGCGTCTGCCTCTGCTCCAACTGCTGCTGTCCTCCTGAGGAGGACCGCGCCACCAGGTAAAGGAGGGTGAGCGGCAGGGGGCTGGGAGGGCGGCGAGGGCTGCGCCTCCTCCTGACCCTTGCCCCTCCCTCGCCAGCACCCGGCTCCCCTACAAGGCCTCGGCAGCGCGGTCCACTAGCCTCGCTGCCCACCTGCGCCCCGCAGCCTCGGATGAAGAAGGCGACATCAGCTTCGGCAAATACGGGAAAAACGCTTACGTGTAGAAGGCCTGGCCTCTGGATCCTATTCCCTTCCCACTGCCCCCAGCGGAAAGGGGTCCCTCGAACCCCGGGCAGCAGGCGCAGGCCGCTGCTTGGTGCTACCACCTCAGGAGCAAGCCACGCCCCAGGGTCAAGCCACGCCCCGGGCTCTACCTTGGGCCTGGAAGCCACACCCAGCTCAGGCCCCGCCTCTTCAGCCGGAGCTCCGCCCCGGCCGTGCTTCCCTCTGGCCAAGAACCCGCCTCCTGAGGACTCACTTCAGACTCCTGAGACTGGACCCGACCTCTCTTTATCCTCTGCGTCTGGGGACTGAGCGGTTAGGCGGGTGGGGGCGTCCCCGAGTGCTTGCATTCTATATAAATACATGCATAAATAAATTTGTATTGTAAACTGAGGGGCTGAGGGTGTCATGAAGCAACTGGCCAAGCAAGAGTTGGCTGGGGCAGCACCCAGAGTCATCTCAGTTCTCGGACACCAGACTGTCACCTTTCCCCATCTCCATGACCTTTGGACTATCTTATCCAGCAAAACAGGCAGGTGCAAGTTATTTCAAGAGTGTGGCACTCTTATAATTACTGATAAGAGTCATCAAGGAACAGATCAGGAAGACCCAGATCAAGGAAACTGCCAGCCTGAGATAACGAGTCACTCATACTCTCAACCTTTCTTCACAGCTGCACAAGGATACAGGTGGACTAGAGCAGTTTCTTTACCTGGGCCTGAGAGTGGGTACCAGAAACTGGCCAGCCTTCTGAAACTGTGTCAGATCAAGGGTTTGGTAACAGTACATTTTTCTGGGGAAGGTTCAATAACTTCAAGAAACAGCTCTGGAAGTCTGTTCACAGAGGCTTGAGTATCAGTGAAATGTGTGACTCCATGGTGTCTAGCTCAGACAGCACTGGGTCACGGAAAGGCTTGGCACCCACTTAAGACTTGGAAATGAGACCATGAAAAAGAAGCCTGGCTTCTAGCGGAAGGAGGTGATAGATCCTTATCCTGGTACCTTCCCCTGTAGCACTGACTACGGTGACCAGGGGTGGCCTGGGTTCTGACCTCAGCCCTTTCCCCTTTCATCCCATCTGCTCACCTGTACTCTCCCCTGGGATGCAGAGACACTCACATCTGCATTCTAACCGGGCCCTCTCTCTGGAGCTTCAGAAGTATATGCACCCCCTATGTTTCACAAGCTGGGCAAATTCATTAATTCTCCCCAAAGCCACAGTTCCTGTCATTCCTATTACCACCATCGCCATTCTCTTAGTCACACAAATTTACAGCCTCAGTCTTCTCTGGCTTCTCCCTTCACTTCCCCTCTCCTCAGCTGCCAAATCCTATCAGTTCTCCCTCCAGTGTTTCACATCCACCTACTCCTCTCCCTTCACTGCCTGGTCCTGGGTCAGGCCCTCATCCTCCAATGCCCAGACTAGTCACACAATTTCCTCAGTTGAGCTTCTTGTCCATATCCCTCTACTGGAGCATCATTTATTGTCCTGCCCTGGAAGCTCACTGGTGCCTCAGAAAAATCATAAAAGACACTTAAGACCTTGGCACACTGCCTCGCCCTAGCCCATCTTCCTAGCCCCACTTCTTACTATTCCTCTGTACAACCATGCTCTCCCAGCAAGCTGGACTGCTGCACTGGCCTCGGACACACATTTGCATCAAGGCTTCCCACTGGGCTCCCCCCAGAAACGCTGGTGCTTTTTGAGCCCACAAAAATCTGTATATCCTACCCCCTTCATACTCTTCTTTTGGACAATTTGTGGGTGTCCCATGGCCATGCCAGTCCCCGGGCTAAAACCAAAGCCCATATGGAAGGGACTGCACAGAGTGCAGACAGTGGGAAGTATGTTTTGCAGGGGCCCTTAGTGTAACAATCTACCATAGCAAGTACCGGGCCATCTGACTTGCTTTGTTAGCAAACCAATTGTAGTTTCTCTGGATAAGACACAAATCTTTAAAAGGGCCTTACAATTCTGAAAGGCCATGAAAATGCCACAGGGATGCCTGCTTAGCCCATAGTGAAGGACAGAGGCCAACCACAACTCCTGATGCTGCCACCCAGGCACCTCCAACCCAAATTCCCCCCTACCCCACTCCACAGCTTCTACCTCCTTTCCCACACTCCATCCTGCCTCTTCTCATCTCCTCCCCCTTTCAGGAAAACTAGCCTTAGCCAGGTCTCACATTTGAGTGTTTAAATAAGTGCCTTAATATGATCACCAGGTTTTCTTTATCCATCAGTAATGGTCACGTGGCTCTAAAGGGCTATCTTAAAAAAAAAAAAAAAGATGTTTTTATTGATTTCAGAGGGGGAGAGAGATAGAAACATCAATGATGAGAGAGTCATTGATCAGCTGCCTCCTGCATGCCCCCCATGGGGGATCGAGCCTGCAACCCAGGCATGTGCCCTGACTGGGAATCAAACCGTGACCTCCTGGCTGGTAGGTCTAAGCTCAACCACTAAGCCACATTGGTCAGAGTCAACACACCCTTTTAACATGTTCTTTTCTAGAAGTTAGAGCATTAAGACATGACCCCTGCCCTAAAAAAACTCACAAGATAGGAGCAAAGAGAAATATAAACAGCTAGTTACCATATAATGGGCAAGATGTTAGGGCTACTCCAAAGAATCCTCTAGTTTTTGAGGGAACTGGCTGTGAAAAAGCTTCACAACAAACTGCTTTAGGTCTTGAGCAATGAGGTCAACAGCTATCATTTACTGAGTACTTTCCAGATGTCAGACACTGGGCTAGGTGCATTGCCTCACAATACCTGGGAGGTGGCTATGCAGAGTCAGAGAGGTAAAGTGACCTATCCAAGCTACACAATTAGTAAGTAGTAGTACCAAGATTTGTCCAAGACTGAAGACACAACTGGCCTGCTTCCCAGAATTCCTGGCTCTCCAAACTAATTCACACCAGTTAAAGTCAGTGCTCACTGAGGTCTTTAGCTGTGAGCCCCCCAAGCCTCTAGCCTTCCAGACACTAGCATTGACCCTCTTCTATTCCTGTGTGCCCAGGAAGGGGCTGTGGTGCCCCCATCACAAAACCCTGGCTCTAGCCTCTAGAAGCTTTTGGTATAGTGTAGATTTCCCAAAGGCCTGGGTGTCTCCCAAGCTGGGGACCAAGTCTCCACTAGTATACAGGAAGCTGGCAAAAATTGTTCAAGGCTTTTCTTGAGGAGCTATGGTTTTAAATGGGAGTGTGGAGACCTTTCCTAGAGAATGTCAGTGGATAAGTTGTAGAGACAATCAGCATCAGAGGAAGGGAAGGCTCTGTCCTATTAAGATCAGCTGGGGAAGGCTGAGCGTGTCACTGAGTAGACAAATCTTACACCAAGCAGAACCTGTCCGTCTGATTCTTTTTATAACAACAACATATGAAATAAAGTTAGTGAACCTAGAAAATAAACCAAAGAGATTGTGCTGATTCAGTGGAAATCTGATAGGAATTCCAATGCAGGTTGATCACGGTGAAGCACGGGTGGTGTTTCTCTGCAAGGAAATCATCCTTTCTTCTAGTTTCTTTCTTGAGTGTACTTCTTGGTAGAGAGGAAAAAAGGTTAGAACCCAGGAAAGTTTCCCCTCCTGAGAGAGACAATAAACCTAGGGCAGGAGTTAGCAGCCAGCAAGTTGGATTCCTGATGTCCTGGTTACTATTGCATAATGAACCATCCCAAGACTTGGGACTCAGTGGCATAAACCTTTTATTATACATGCAAATTCTGTAGATCAGGAATTTAGATAGGGCACAGCAGAGATGGCTTGTGTCTGCTCCATGATGTTGAGGAGACAGCTAGGATGACTCAAATGGCTGAAGCTGACTTGGTGCCTTGGGGCTGAAATCATGAGGAAGCATCTTCACTCCTATGATGGAAGCCTGGGCTGGGCTGGCTTAAAGGCTTGGTTAACTGGACCTGTCACTGGCAACACCGGCACGTGGCCTCTCCATGTAGCCTGGGCTTCCTCAGAGCATGGCAACTTCAAGACAGTTGGATTTCTTACATGGTGGCTGAAGGCTCCAAAAGCGAATGAAGGCTCCTAAACCTATATGATCCTATTAACCAATGGCACTCCAATAAACTTAATACAAAAAAACTCCAAAATGTTTTTTAAAAAAACCACAAGTGTCCTAGGGACAAGACAGAAGCTGCACCGCCTTTTACCACCTAGCCTTGAATGTCACATGGTTTCCCTTCCACCACTCTTCTTGGCTGAAGCAGGCTGAAGCCGACCCAGATATCGGAGGAAGGGATAAGGACCCGCCTTCAGTGGAAGAACAGACAAAACATTTACAGCCATCTTTTCAAACCACACACTTAGGACTGTCTGTAACCCTGTTCTCACCACCATTCAACACAAAGCTGTCACCAACACCACTTGCCCAACTGCAAGTCTCCAGAGAAAGGGCAAGCAGTTCCCAAGGAGGACACAGGAACATTTGGGCCAGCCCCAAGAAAGTCCCCGAACTGGGGAAGACAAGCCTAACAAGGTACCTAACACTGACTTTGCTGGCTACCATTAGTATCTTATTGAGGTCATATGTTCAACAAACACTTCCTAAGCCCCTGCTTGGCTATGTTCTAACAGGGTCCTGGGCAACTAGGACAGCAACTTCAAGGAGCTTAGGTGCCTATAAATCACAACCTGCTTAGAAGAGGTGTGGGTGTAAGAGGCTCTAGTACCACACAAGAGTTACAGCATCCAGGGCCACCAAGAACAGGAGCCTCTATACCATGAATTCCTCCATGCCACCCAGAAACTTCTCAGTTTTCTTTGCTAATAACTTTACATACCACAGCCCTTGATAAGAAGAGCTTCCTCAGAACAACTGTTTCCTCAGACTGGCCATTCCTGGGGCCTTGCTGTATTCAAAAGAAACTCAGAGAAACTAGAGAAACAAAAAGTAAAAACAAATGTACTAAATCAATAACCAAAAAAGTGACAAAAAGAAGCAGCCAAGAAATGAGAGACATGGGAGTGGTAGGAGAATGAGACAAAATCTTTCATAGTCAGGGGCCTAGAGGGGCAGAGTGGGAGCGGTGATTGACAGGTAGGAGAAAAAGACAGAGTAGTAAGTAGGTGAAACAGATGACCCGTCACCCTCACCCCCAAAACACCACGTGACCAAAAGGCAGGTGCTTCCTCACATGAGACCTTTTATTACGACAGTACTCTGGGGGCTGGCCCACTTCTCTGCCACATCCCTGGGAGTAAGACTGGTCTTCCCTGGAGGAGGTTTTTTGGGTGAGTGAATGGTTCCTCTCTTGGTCCAAGGGAGCACCTTTCCTTTTGGTTGATGTCCTTTCCAAGGCCAGGGTGATGCATGGAGGTCCTTCCTCTCCAGGAATACCCAGGCTCACACAGTCCACTTCAGGCACCTATAAGCAGAGAAACACAGGATGAGGAGAGGGTCTGGGAGGCTGGGAGTATATGAGGAAAAGGGTGTGGACCTGGGGCACATTCCAAGCTAACCTGGTCTCCTGGTGGGTGCCCAGACAGCGCACAGTGCAGTACCGGGCGCCACAGCTGATGCAGGTGTATGGGGAGGGGAAGCCACATACAGCACAGAAGGGGCGCTGGGGCCGGGATGGGGGTCCCGCACAAGCTGTCAGGTAGTTGGGGCCCTCGGCCACACTCAGGTTCTGCAGATACAAGGGGGAAGGCTCCACAATTCCTCAGCCCACCCACATAGCAAACACCTGCCAGGGACAAGTGTCTCTGTGGGTTCCTCCCCACAAGCTCCTCTCTCACCTGCTCCTCCAGCAAGGCCTGAAAGTTCTTTCGGAAGCGAAGTTTAAAATGATCACCTCGAGTTTTCTTCTTTTTCTTTCCTAGAGGTCAAGAGCAATGAGTTACTTGCCAAGTTCCAAGAAAGACACCATCTTTCTCTGCCCCATCATTCCCAGTGCCCTCATACCCTTTCCCTGCCCACATGCTCACCTGGGCTCTAAGAAGGCCTCCGTCTACCATCCTTTTCCCTTGCCCCAATTTCTCCAATCCCAGCCTTCCTTCATTTCTACACTCCCTAAATCTAAGACTTTATATTGGAACTGGAAGGGAGTTCAGAGCTCACCTACTCCATCTTCTTTACATACATAAGAGGAAACTAAGGCATAGAATGGGGAGAGCAACTGGCTCAAAGTCACCAGAGCCAGTCCCTGGCAGAGCCAGAGGAGCTCCTGGGTCATCCGCCCCCAGCCCAATGTCCTTCCACAACCCTAATCTGGTCAGACTCTTTCTCCTTCCTTCAGCTTGTCTCTCCAGCCCCACCCGCCTCACCGGTGTCTGCATCATCGTCAAACTGAGGTAGTCTCTTGCCAAGCTGGGGGAGTCCTGCGTGGGGGTCATCCTGGAAGTTGTCATTCTCCAAGGCCTCAAGCTGCCTGTTGATGCGACGCTGCCGGGCAGCCCTGTCCAGTACCCGCCGCTGTCCAGGGTCCTGGGAGCGAACTAGATGGGGCAGAGCCAGAAGAGTTGGGGAGGGTGGGAAGAGGGGCAGAGAAGAGAGAAGCTGGGGTGACCCTGGCTCTGGGCAGTGTGTGGATAATGTCCATGGGGTGTGGAGCCAAAGTTCTCTGATCTAGTCACTGAGCCCTCAGCCCTATACCTTCTACCAATACAGTAGTCTCCCCTTATCTGAGATTTTGCTTTCTGCAGTTTCAGTTACCTTCGGTCAACTGTGATCTGAAAATATTAAATAAAAATTGAAATAAACAATTCATAAGTTTTAAATTGCATACTGTTCTGAGTAGGTGTGGGTGTAAGAAGCTCTAGTAACACCCAAGAGTTACAGCATCCAGGGCCAGCAAGAACAAGAGCCTGTGATGAAATCTCATGTCAACCCACTCTGTCCTACCTGGGATATGAATCATCCCTTTGTCCAAGCATCCAGGCTGTATACACTACCTGCCCGTTAACCACTAAGGAGCCATCTCAGTTATCTTATCAACTGTCATGGTACTGAAGTGCTTGAGTTCAAGTAACCCTTATTTTACTTAATTATGGCCCCAAGCCACAAGAGTAGTGATGCCAAAGATATGCCAAAGAGAAGTCGTAAAACATATGTACATATAGGGAAAAACACCGTTCAGTACTATCCTCAGTTTCAGGCTCCATCGGAGGTCTTGGAACTACTCCCCCTTAATGGGATAATGGGGGCACTGTATATCAGCCCCTCTGGTTTGCTTTCTTCCCAGCTAACTAAGACTGCCATTTCAGTCACTCGGGCCTGTTTTCTATCCCTTTGGCCACAGCCTTTCCTCCCAATCCCAGACAATTCAACCAATGAAATGCTGGCAGAAATCACACAACTATGCTGACAAGACCACTATAAACTCAGGGCTTCCAGGCTCCACTAGGACCTTAATGCACTTGGCCTTCATGCTCAGCAATTTTATTTCCTACCTTAAAATGGGCCACTGACACATAGAGACACTCATCTTTTAGCCTACTTTCAATCATAATTGCTTGGGTACCCAACCCCACCCCCATCACCACGGCTCACTGTTAAACTAGTCCTTCACCTTCAGCGGAGTCCTCCCCTCCCTCTTGCAAATTCAATTTCTCCTCCTCAGCTGGTACTTTCCTTTCAATGGAAAAACCTACTAAACTCTCTCATGTCTACCCAACTTCACAGCTACTCTTCTTTGACAGAGTGGTCCACGTGATGTTTCATTTCTTCATCCCCCATCCACCCTTCGACCCCCAGCAACAGGCTGGTTTTTTATGGGAACCACTCACTCAGGACACTGGTAACCTCCTTGGGCCAAGTCCAGGGTGCATTTTACTTGAGGTCTCTACACTCTGAGACTGTGTTGACCATCTTCCTCGGGTTGAAAGAGTCCCTTCATTGGCCTTTTTGGCATGATTCCAGGTTTTCCTTCCCCATCTCTGGCTATGCTTCCATTTCCAACCTTGCTTTCTCTCTCTTCCTCTAAGGAGATGGCTGTCCCTGTTCTCTTTCTCAGTCTATAAACTCTTCCTGAGATTTCTAATCCAAACACAGAGCTTTCTCACCCACTAGCAAATGACTCCAAAAGTGATTCTCTCAATCCAGAGCCTTCTCTTGAGCTCCAAAACTGACTACTCAACTGACTGCAGGAAATTACCTGCTGACCCCATTGACGCTGTAACTCAAAATAAAAAATCTTCCCACCTAAGACTGCTTCTCCTCCTGTAGACTTTCTTTAACTGAATGGAACCATCTACATAGACATCTAAACCAGAAATCTAGCAGTTATTTTAAACCTCTCTCTTCATTACTATATCAGCTGTTCACCAGGTTCTGATAATTCTACACAAAATGCTTCTTTATTCATTAAACAAATATTGATTGAGTGCCTGTAACCATAATAATAGCATCAGTGCCGGTGGCTAGCACTTATGTACTAAGAGTCAGGCAGTACACTAAGCTCTGCATAAATGGAATCCTTTAAAGAATCAACATAGTTTAAATGGCCATATTACCCAAAGCAATATACAGATTTAATGCAATCCCTGTCAAAATATCAATGTCACTTTTTAAAGAAATAGAATAAGAAATCATCAGATTTGTATGAAACCACATAAGACCCCAAATTATGTTGAAAAGACTTCCAATTATACTACAGAGCTACGATAATCAAAACAGCATGCTATTGACACAGAAACAGACACAAAGATCAATGGAATAGAATAGAGAGCCCAGATATAAAACCAAATGTATATGGGCAAATAATTTTCAACAAAGGAGCCAGAAACACACAGTGGAGTAAAGGTAGTCTCTTCAATAAATGGTGCTAGGAAAACTGGAAAACCACATACAAAAGAATGAAGCTGAATTACAGTTTGTCCCCATGTACAAAAATTAACTCAAAATGGATCAAAGACCTAAATGTGAGACCCAAAACAATAAGTTACATAGAAGAAAACATAAGTGCCAAACTTATGGACCTTAGTCATAGAGAGCATTTTATGAACTTGACCCCAAAGGCAAGGGAAGTAAAGGGAAAAATAAGTGAATGAGACTATATCAAACTAAAAAGCTTCTGCACAGCAAAAGAAACTGACAACAAAATAAAGGGGCAGCCAACCAGATGGGAGATGATATTTGTAAACAGTAGCTCTGACAAAGGTTTAATATCCAAAATATATAAAGAACTCATAAAACTCAACACCAAACAAACAACCCAATCCAAAAGTGGGCAGAGGACCTGAACAGCCTCCTCTCCCAAGAAGACATATGAACAGTCAATAGATATATGAAAAGATGTTCACCCTCACTAGCAGTTAGGGAAATGCAAATCAAAACTACAATGAGATACCACCTCACACCTGTTAGAGTGGCTACTATCAACAAGACAAATAATAACAAGTGTTGGAGAGGTTGTGGAGAAAAGGGAACCCTCATTCATTGCTGGAGGGAATGTAGACTGGTACAACCACTATGGAAAGCAGTCTGGCGATACTTCAAAAAATTAAAAATAGAGCTACCATACAACCCAGCAATCCCTCTCCTGGGTATAAACCTGAAAAACTCGAAAACATGTATTCACAGAGATATGTGCGCCCCTATGTTCACTGCAGCATTATTCATGGTGGCCAAGACATGGAAACAACCAAAGTGTCCTGTGATAGAGGACTGGATGAAAAAGATGTAGTACATGTACACAATGGAACACTACTCAGCCATAAGAAAGGATGAAACACTGCCATTCATAACAACATGGGTAGGCCTTGAGAACATTATGCTAAGTGAAATAAGTCAGCCACAAAAAGCCAAGAACCATATGATTTCACTCATATGTGGGATATAAAACTGAAACTCAGGGACACAAACAGCAGTGTGGTGGTTGCCAGAGGGAAAGGAGTGGGGGTGAAGGGAGTCTTAATATATGGTGACAAGAGAAGACTTTGGGTGGTGGGCACACAGAGCAATATACAGATCTTGTAGCATAGAAATCCACACCTGAAACCTATATGTTCATATTAACCATTGTCACCCCAATAAATTTAATTAAATATAATTAATTAATTAATTAAGAAATCCTTTAACCTTTACAACAACCCTGTGGGACAGGTATCATTATCATCCCCAGCTTACTGAAGTTTGCATAGCTGGTAAGTGGCTAGGTCAGAATTCAAACCCCCAACTGCCCAGCATCAAAAAACATGCTCTTGATCACTGCGCATACTGCCTCCCTTCCAAGTGCCAGGTTATGCCCTAGGCTCTTGGAATACAACCAGGGCCTACATTCTAGTGGGGAAAATAAACAATAAAACAAAAATGGTAAAGCATAGTATATGTTAGCATAAGGAAGTACAAAGTGCTACAGAGCACACGACAGAAACACCTAGCCTGGCCTGGAGTAGTTAGGAAGATTTTTGGGAGGAAAGTGAGTCCAGGTTGAGGCCTGACTGATGAATAGAAGTTAATTTGGTTGGGGAAGAGGGGAGGGCGTCTCAGGTCTTGGTACCAGCATGAGAGAAGACCTGGGTGGGAGACTGTGGTGCCTTCAATAAATTAAAAGTTATCTATGGCTGGTGTATAAAGTGTGTGTGTGGGGGGGGGATATGAAGTCAGGTACCTATAGGAATTTAGATTTGGGGATTTTATGATGAGGGTGATAGAAACCCAGTGAGGGGCTTTAAGAAAGGAGTGACATAACTGGATTTATTACAAGTCAATCTGGAGGTGTTCTGACCCTCATCTCTTTTTACTTGGACTACTTAGTAACTTCCTAACTGGCCTTCCAACCTCTCTCCCTGTGCAATACAGTAAAGTAGCCACTAGTCACATGTGGTTAAAGTTAGATGTGGATTAAGATAAAATTTTAAATTCGGTTCCTTGATTGCACTAGCCACATTTCAAGGGCTCAACAGCCACAAGTAGCTAATGGCTGCCACGACGTACAGTGCTGATTAAGAACATTCCCATCATCCCAGAAAATTCTACCGGACAGCGCTGCTCTAGTCCCTCCAACCCATGCTCTGCACTGAAGCCAGAACTGCGCTTCCCAAAAGATAAGTTTGCTTGGGTCACTTCCCTGGCTTAAAGGCCCCTGATGGCTCGCCACTGCCCTAAGTTAAAATTCTTAGGCAGGGTATATAATGCCTTTCAACTGTTCCTTTCCCTGGCCCTCTTTTACTATTCCTCCGCAAACCCCGAACTGTGAACTTGGCTTCCTAAGCGGCTTGCTTTTTCTTGCTTTCTTGCCTTGGCAAGTGCGGTTCCCGCTGCGGGGAATGAGCCCCAGCGCATCTGCACCGAGCGAAACCTAACTCGACTTTGAGGCGTTCTTCCCCGCCAACCCTTCAGGGCCCCCTCCTTTCCAGAAGCTGTGCATCCCTCTGCCATAGCACGTATGCAAGTGTGCCCCCTTCCCAAAAGGCCAGTTCTAAGAAGATAAAAACCTTTTTTCCCTTCTCCATCCCCTGCGCCCGGCTTGGAGCAGGCATCAATAAAACGTGAATGGATGGTTTGGGAGCTGCCCCACGCCAGGACCCAAGGGCAGGGGAAGGGACTTGAGACTAATAACTGGGTGAGAAAATCTTAGGCCAGGTTCGGATCTGAGAGGAGGAAGGGAGCTAACCCCCGGGGGCTCACATACCCGAAGTTTTCTTCTCCACCATTTCCACAACACAGCGGACTGAAGAGCCTATTGCGCACGCGTGCTAACCATCCGCTTTGGTAAGGGCACCGTCACTTCCGGCGGTGTTTGCTTCTGCGCGTGCGCAATACTACGCTTTGCCTAATTACGTAATGTTCCCTTGGAGACGAGCAAGCTTTCTGACATATTTCATGGGGGCAAAAGTACTTCCGGCCTCAGTGTAGTTTTGTATTTTGTGGGAACCCTGAAATGGGTCGTTTTAAAGATGTGGTGCCAGTGGCTTTTCGAGAAACGTTATTTTCCTTCGGTTCTTTCTTTCTTTCTTTCTTTCTTTCTTTCTTTCTTTCTTTCAAATATATCTTTATTTATTTCAGAGAGTGAGGAAGGGAGAGGGAGAGAGACAGATAGAAACATCAATGATGAGAGGGTCATTGATGGGCTGCCTCCTGCACGCCCCCGACTGGGGATCCAGCCCGCAACCCGGGCATGCGCCCTGACCGGGAATCGAACCCCGATCGCCTGGATCCTAGGTCAATGCTCAACCGAGAAGCCACGCCCGGCCGGGCTCCTTCGGTCCTTCTTTAGATGCCGCTGTCCCAAAGGCAGCCCGTAGAGCTTTACCCGGGGAAGTAGAGAAGACAGAAGGGGCTCCAAAGGCTGTGAGCAGGCTTGAGTGGGCAACCCGAGAGGCCCCTGATGACCCTCCGCAGACACTTCAACCCCTAGCTCCTCCCGGGCTTCAGACTTCCCCGTCTCCTCCCTCCCTTCCCCTCTTCCTCCGCTCGTCCCAGCTCTGCGGGCCTCACAGCCTCGCTCTCCAGTCTTCCGCCCCGCCGCTGGGGCACGGCTGTGGCAGGCCCGCCTCCGCGTCTGGTCGGACTCGCAAGGGGTCACTTCCTCTCTCCGGGTTTCAGTTTTCTCACATGTCTGGCGAGCACTGGACTGGGCTGTCTCGACTGAAGTCCTCGGCCCAGGATCGCCAGCCCGAGCCCCCACCCCTCTTTCGCCCCGCGGCCCAGCAGCCCCTCTGCTCGCTCCGCGCAGCCCGCGCGCCCGCGCGCCCGCGCCCAGGGACAATCCTCGCCTTGTCTGGAGCGCCGGCGTCTAGAGTTTTCTGTAACCTCCGGATACGCCTTTTTTCCAGGGCGGAGCCCCCAGCCCTGCTCCTACTCGCGGTTGGCCGCACGGCAGCCCCGGTCGCCTTCCTAGAGCCCCCCGCTCGGTAGTTGAGATCCGGGTGCGCAGCCGGAGCCCGGTGCGGGCCCGAGTTCCAGCTCCGGGCGATGGCCTCCTGGGGCGCGGGACTCCGGCTCCTGCTGCTACGACTGCTGCTGCTGCTGCCGCCTCCTGTAGCCTCGGCTTCCGACCGTCCCCTCGTCGGTAACCCGGTCAACCCAGGTGAAACCCCAGGGAGAGCCGAGTGAGCTCCGGGCTGGCGTGTCTGCCCGCAGGGGCCAAGGG